ATTATTTCCGTTTCCGATTGCGTAAACTTATTACGATATGCCTACGCTGGTGTTTTTGCCTTATAGACTACTGACCATTTCATTTAACGGAGGGACTTAAAGTTACTAGCCATATTAAACTGTAGACAAACCTCATCTGAACCCACAATTTCGGTCAGTCGATTGAAAGCCGTTGATTTCTATGCGAAAATTTAAATTAAAGAGGCGAAATTTGACAATTAATTTAACGGATATGACTGAAATTTTTATAAGATGTCGAGAATATGTCCCTAAAAGATAATTCACCTTGATTGATCGGTTGCGTTTTGAAAACTGACGGCGTCAAAGTCATCAATTTAATTTTTTTACTTTCACTTACCTATGTTTTATTTTATTTTATTTTCCTCCCTACCCTGCCTTAAAGACAATACGGGAGTTTGCAGCAGTGACTTGATACACATTGCATACCAAATATCTGTTGCAAGTTTATCTTTTTACATTTTTAAATTGCTGTGCACACAGCCAGCTTGATAATTTTTTTTCTTATTTTATCTCCCTCCATTTTCTTCTCCTGTCCTAATCAGCGTCCAAGCTCACCCGAAAGAGTACAAACGTAACATGAGCTTAATATAATACGAACTCCAACAATATTATGTACATACACTTATGCGGTTTTCATAAATGCTATCGTTATTATTATTTCATATTTAATTGTACGGAAGAAAATGATATAAAAATTAAAAAATTTCTATATAAGGGTATTTTAACAAATAAAAATACCCATAATAAAATTTAAATAAATATAACGCCTATAATTTTTACTTTCACTTCTCCTTTGTCTGAAAACAAATGCTAAGAGTAAGTGAAAACCATGTGATGCGCAAACCAGATTTTTCCTCATAAAACTACCATCCGACTGGCTTAACTTAATGACTTTGACGCCGTCAAAGTTCGCCTATTTAATTTAAATTTTCTCATAGAAAGCTACGGCTTTCAACCGACTAACCAAAGTTGTGTGTTCAGATCAGGTTTGTCTAGAATTAAAAATGGTTACTAGTTTTTAAATCCTTCCATTAAATGAAATGGTCAGTAGCTCCTAGTCTACCATGGGTGACTGTACGTAGTTAAATTGTCATTATTGCAATTTAATGAACTTGATATTTATTATTTTCATTTCGTTCAAGTATACCCAAAAGTTGCGTTCTACATTCACCTAAAGAAATAGTATAATAGATATATGGTAAGTTTAAATAGGTAAATTTATCCTAGGCATTGTCCTAGGACAATACGAATTCCTGATAAATAAACATGAATTTAATAAAAGACTAAAGCTGGTAGGCGATATCCTACGTCTGTTTGTCGATCGAAAACGTAATCCTGGAATAGAATCCCTTTAGTGAATAGCTATGACATCACCAACCACAGAATAAAAGGACTGTATGATAATCTACCGGCCTCGTCTACAAACGCCAGTTCAGGGAACAACATGAACTTCTCCGTGTTATTTTTCCTCTTTTTATGTGAGTATATTCAACCGATTTATTAGAATATTGATTATATAATATAGGTTTCATATATCATTTATGATTGATATTAGAATCAAGTATTTGTTTTATAATATATCATAATAACATGTATTTGAATAATAATAGTACTATACGAATAGTAGTATATATGAGCCTTTCTGTAAAGTGATATTTCTAGTTGGAAAATTTATATCTGTACAGACAGTGAGTAAGTTCATTCCATAGTATGTGATTGCAGTGTTGAAATGTAGTGTGAATAAAGGTATAAATTTTCCCGCTAGAAATATCACTAAAATTAATAATAATAAATGTTGAAATTTGGAAATAGTCAAAACGATTTCATGCAATGTATTATTAAGAGATGGATAAGTTGATTTTTTTTCTAGGTAGAACTAAGATATTTAGTCTATAGACTGTATCTTTGCTAATAATAGCTCGATTTCTATCATTTTTGGAGAGTTTTACAGAGAATTTAGTAACTTATTCAACAATAATAGTGATCCACCATTAATTAATTTTTTTTTTTAAATTCTGCCTTGATAAAGTTTTTATTTCTTTTTAAAATTTCTCACTGAAATTTTGAGAGTGTGTGACTATTTTTCCCACCTGAAAGAGAAGATAATCTTCAAAATGAACTAACAAATTTATGGTGGGAGATTTCGGGCTGAAGCCCCCAAAATGAAATTTGATTTTTTTTTCATTGGTTCATATTTTTTACTGTGAGTGATCCAAGCTAAATTACGTAAACAATAACGATGAGTTCTATTTTTAAAATTATAACGCATAAACAAAAACTAAATACAATCATATTTTATGAAAAAAAAAATTTTTAATAATACTAAAACTATTGTTGTTCGTATGACTTCAAAAATCACTTAAACGCCATTTCATATTGATAGTTTCTTTATTTTTCTTTCCAAGTAATTATGGTTATAAATATTTAAAAAATACTTTCGGGCTGAAGCCCCACCTAAAAAAAAAAAAATTAAATCCTGAGTCCGCTACTTGGATCTAATGAAGAATTTACAAAGATATAGTCTACCGACAAAAACAAAATTTATAAATAGTACATTATAGATATTTGAATTTTTTATATTATTATGAATCTATGGCCTCTATAACCTTGGCATCAAAATTCATTATCGCTGGTGTATGGCCTAAGCGTTATCTCAAAAACTGTACATTTTTAGGCCTTTAAAATACATGAGCCACTATAGATCTATTATTTTAGTAGTAATATGATTTTACAAAACTACACTGGGCATGAAGCACCAGACTAATTTAAAACACAATTTATCCCGTCTCGCTCTGTCGAAACCTCTTATTTTTTTCAATGACTTTTATTATAATCGTAGCAAGTTTTCAAGTTTTAATTCGTCACTTCTGCATGAAATTCTGTTTCGTATAAAACCTCATTGATCAAAATTCATCTCTTCTGAGAGTCGAAAAAGGATCTATTTTATCGTAGTATATATATTATAGATAAGGGTGTGAGAAATATTACTAATAACAATTATATGTTTTACGACATATAAAACGAGTTCACTCAAGTATCGCAACACAACCAACTTAATTGTAAAATTAAAGTTTAATTCGGATAATAATAATATCTATTTTAAGAAAATGTAATTTTATTTATATATACCTAGATATATATTGATTTTTATTCATATAAATATTTATTATATAGACAAATTCTTCCTTAAACATATTACTAGAGAGGAGAACTAGGATAACTACGAATTATTTTACTACACAAATATAAAACTTTTTTTCAATATATAATGTAACAGGAAATTTGTGTATTATTAGAAATATATACAATCATTACCTATAATTTTTTATTAGTTATTTTAATGTAAACTGTAAAATATAATTGTTAATTATTTTTACTTTTTTTAGAGTGATTTATAATTAAATAATATTTTGAACAGATAACCCGAAACGGCGTTTTTAATTTTTTTGTTTAAACTATAAATAAAGTTTTTGTTGAAAAAAAATTATGCTAATGATTTAAAGAATATAATAATGAGAAAATAGCTTTAATTTTACTTTTCCTTAAAAAGAAAATTTCCTTTGAAAAAAATTTCTAAACAGATGATTGAACCCAGGCGAAAAATTTAAAAATGATAAAAAAATTTGTTTTGGGCTCAAGGTATCCAAAATCATTTACTTAAAATTAAATATAAAAATTAAACTTTCTCAGAGTTTGAAAATAATTTAATAATCATTTTTCTCAGAAGGCAATATTTTTCTTATAAAACTTGGATATTATTCCATTTTATCTATTTATTTACAAACTAATAATTTTGGTATATTATTTTCAACAATGAAACATTGTGATCGACCAAAAAATTCAAAAACATAACCCTCTCTCAAAATTTGAGGTTTCACGTTTCAAGACGCGTAGAATTCGAAAAACGAATAAAAATTTTTTTCAGGACCAATTTTTTTCAAATTTTGATATAAAATCAGAGGTCACCCGAGGATGATGTTCCTTCATCGACATTACTCTCCGCCTTTAACTTTCAAAATGGAGGCCGAAAAACATACGTTGCTATAGACTGTAGCTCCTAAACGAATGTACCGATTTCAATGATAATTCGCTTAAGTCATTTTCTTGACGACCTTTAAATTTATCTATATAACATACTTCAACGAAAAGAAGCTGGAAAAAAAGTTACGAGGGATGGTAAAATTAAATTCCGAATAACTCAAAAAGTTTACACTTTTTTGTCGATAATGTATATGGTTTTTCAAAAGTTTACGAAATTTCCTAAAAACCAAAAAAAATCGTTAAAATCGGACAATTAGGAGCTAAGATATGGTCTCCGGTTTTTTTTTAATATGTTCTACTCCAAATGTTATATCTTTTGTTTGGTTTTCTAATTTTGAATTTGTTACTGAAGTAATGCTAATTTTTTTTTTAGCATATTACTAATGATTAAAGAAAAACAGTTTCCAAAAATTGGAATTACCTTTTGTTTTTTTTTCTTTTTAACTCGGAAGGTAATGTTACTTTAGATGTATAATTGTTTGGAAATAATAAACCATTGTGAAATAATTTGCAGCGTTTTTATTTTGTATTAATTATTATATTAAAAAAATTAGTATATATTACATAGCTACGAATATTTCTATCCAATTATAGTTCATTTCATGTAATGGCATCGTTGATATTTTTTATTATTTTTATTAAATAATTTTCTATTGAAAATATTGAAATATATTGATGTCCTCTAATGATAAACTTGTAGCTGACTTTTTTATTTTAGTTTTGTATAATTTTAATCAAACCTTTTTATATATTTCTGGTGTTGGTATAGATCGCCATTAAACTTATTAAGAATGCTTCTACCAATTTTTAAACCACAGAGCTATCCGATAAAGAGTAATTTATTCAAATTTTAACAAATAAAATAAATTACGTAAAAAGTCAATTACCAGTCATTTTTAGGGATCATTCATATCCTTCTACTTTCGGACACACTCGGTATTTTTCGGCAATCCTCGGCTCTGAGCTCTTGTTGACATCAGCTGTTCTGTTTACATGGTGGTTCCGTCGTGTTATCGTTATGTCTCATGTGAGGATTGACCTAATCCATCGTTTTGATATTATTGATTTCCTCGAGGAGTATCAGAAGTTTCCCTGTTTATGGAAGAAATGTGACCCGAATTTTAAAAACCGCATAGAACGAGAAGCTGCAGAGAAATCCCTCCTGGAAACCTTCAAATTTGCTTCTGCAAAGGAATTGAGGCAAAAAATTCGAAGCATTCGAGGAACCTATAATCAGGAACGAAACAAAGTGAGGAATTCACTACTAACTGGATTAGATATATATAAACCTAAACTGATATGGTTTGATTTAGCAGACAGCTTCCTAAGGCAAAATGAAATGGACACTGAACACGATTCATTTCAGGTGAGTACCTATAATTTTGTTTTCTTATATTAGCGTATTGATAATTAAAATTATATATTTAAGTTGCAAACTAAGTTTTAAAATTCGAAAAAAAAATTATATTCATACTTAAAATAAAAATGAATAGTTACTGGACCATTGCGTACTGTTTAATGATAACTCCTTCCTCAAGAAGTATCTTGTAGATCTTCAGTATCAGTTGTCATGATCTTATTTATTGATATTCTTACTAAAATACTTAGTATGATAAGGGCTCTTATCTATACACCATATCTCTTATCTATTAGATACTGTTATAAGTTGTTGCGACTTTAACCAGTTTAGCATCTTTCTGGATGAAAATGAATTGTTGTCCTGAAAATTTGACCCGTTGTCAAAATACCAAACAAATTCTCAATGAAGGGTGTCAACCAAACCTGAAAAAGTCAGGAAATTTTATGAAAAAATGTAGAAAGTCATGAAATTTGTTAAGCTAGATAACGCGAGTGCTAATTTTCTGTTATCTACAGGTTCTATGAATAAATATTAAGATATGATAACTTCAAAATAAAATTCCATTTCACAAAAAAAAAAAAAGTTAAATAATAATAAAGTGATTAGCTCTAATATTATTTATGTAGGTACAATTAAATTTAAAAAATTATTGTTTATGCTGTTATTAGAATTCAAATTCTATCTTTTGTTTAATTTGCTTTGACATTTTATAATTAGTGATCTACTGGCTAATTACCACGGTACCAATGTCACTTTGCTTTACCAAGTGAACCAAGATCACCTGATCACGCTATAAATAAGATTTTGAGAATAGCAGAGGATTGACAACTTCTTCACAGAATAACCTCCCTCGATTTATGACTTAGGCACTCACTCATAAACAAACCCTCAATAGGCCCTTTTCAGACAAGATCAAGGACTTACCAGATGATTCCTTCACTTTCAGACATTCTCCCGATTCCATTTATGGTGTGATCTTATGCCACCTATGAAAGCGGAGTGACATCTGTACATTAGTATCCTCGATAATATAGAATAAAAGATGAATGACTGTTACCTTCAGACACTATGAACTGATTTTGCTCATTTCCTCTCTTAAGAGATGATTTTTCGAATATTCCATTGTCACCATTGCTACCATTACTTTCAATTTTAAAAATTTAAAGTTGTCATGTTTTATCATTGTCAAAAGCTCTACGCTGAAGTTTCTTTGTAATTGAATTATAAAATCATTGTAATTTTAAATTAGGGAAGCATTAAAACTAATGCATACTTTCTGTCAATACAATCTACACATTTACAATATTGAAAGTTCCATAAATAATAGAAACCTTTTTAAATTTCTCTCCTCTTACTTTCAGTTTCTAGGATCTGAAATGGCACACATAAAAAAAAATTTAAATAAACATATATGAAAGAAATGTCAGTAAAAAATAAGATCAAATAGTTACCTTAGTTATTTTTGAGTGATATCGATCTCCTTAATTTACCATGCATCATTTAACCATTACCACATAATAAAATTAAACTCATCTGTAAATTTAAATAGTGAATAAGGGAATGATCATGTAAAATTTATTTGTGCAGATAACAGAGGAAGAGGATTGTCTTCATGGAGAAATAGAAAAAAAAGAGGAAATGACTCCAGAGCAACACCAAACTGAGCCATCGACCTCTCACCAACTTTCACTATCGAATTCACAACATCCAACACCCTCTCGGACTTACGCACACATGATTTCTCGAAATCAAAAAAGAAAAAGAGAGAGGGTTGTACCTCAGAATCGAAGAAATATCGCCAAATTAGTTGACTCGTTAGATAATGCTGTGAATGTACTAAAAGAGGTTTCTTCACGGTCACCTTCAGATAATAGCAATGAATTTGTTATCTTTGGCAATCATGTTGCTTCGCAATTACAGACACTTCCACTCGCAGAAGCCCTTCAGTTGCAAGCTGAAATACAATCGCTCATTACATCTGTTCGAGTGCAATGTCTTCAGAATAATTCCTCAGTTATGAACGAACAGCTTGTTACGACAGTACAACCTCAGTGTATGTATAGGGACTTGACATGGTATTCTTCACAACTCTCGTTTCAACTTATTTTATTTTTTATTTCTTCTATTGGGAAGATAACTACTCAGTTGTTTTTAAAATACTGGGTACATTACTGAACCACTGATATTACAGGTTCTAACTATTTTTTTTTCTTTTTTTTTTTAATAAAATAAAATATACATAGTTTTATTTAATAGCTGATTGGGTATAATGGCAAAAGTTAAGCGCTGAAATATTTATTTTGTTTAAAAACTACTATTTAATGATTATTTGTGACTAATAAATGTTCATTACTTTAAAAACGGCCAAACAATAATCTTCATTCTAAAACAATATTCATTTATTTTTTTAAAGTTTCCATCCAATGTCATTATTTGAATCGTAACTGTAAGTGGAAAATTCACTGTTTACACAATGAAGAAATTATATATTGGGTATAAAATAATGCAGGGTTTTGGTTTAAAAAGAAAGATTTACAATTGTTTTATTTAATCAAAATACTCTCCACTACTATCAATACATTTCTGCCTACGTGTTGGTAACTTTTCCATTCCCACGGAATAGAATTACCCATCTTTAGAATTGATAAACTCTAAAAATTCATTTTCTAATTTCCTTTGTCCACTTTGTAAGTAGTGGTTCCAGGTGTCTAAAAAAATGATTATCCTTAGGCGAGAGGTCCGAAGAGTAGCGTGGATGTAGCAGATTTTCATATCCATACTCTAACTGTTTTAGTGATGTCACTCCCGAGACATGTGGCCGGGCGTTGTCATGCAACAAAATAGGCTCCTTCCGATTGACCAAAAATTAGTTCATTATTGCCAATTTCTGATGCATTGCATTAATTTGGTTACAATACGATTCGGCATTCAGGATTTAAAAAGCTGTAGTGTATCAAACCAAATGAAGGCCACCAAACAGTAACCATCTCCTTTTTTTGATGAGTTGGGGGTTTTGGCAAATGTTCTGCTGCTTCTCCTTTGTCGAGCCACTGTCCAGAAGGTCTACTATTATTTTAAAGTATCCACTTTTCATCACAAGTAACAATCCTGGACAGAAAAGGGTCGTTTTTGTTTTGGCAAAGAAGCGTAGTACAAACTTCATAATGCTGGTTTATTTTGGCGGTTGTTTAATGAATATGGAACCCAAATTTCAAGCTTTTTTACATTTCCAATCGCCTTGAGGTGGTTATCGAAAGTAGATCTGCTAAGTTCAAGTTACCCTGCAAGTTCTCGAACAGTTGCTCTGGGATGTTCTTCCACTAAAGCACGCATGACCTTTGTCTTCAAGGCTGAAGTCTCCCTCCCTAAATTTTTTGAACCACCGTTGAACAGTCAGCACTCATTAATGTTGCTCTCGCTCCCGACTTGATTCATGTTTCTAGCCATCTGGACCCCATTCCGTATTATAAGAATTAAAGAAAATCAGAAGAAATTATAAGAAAATCACGCTTTGGCATCTTTGTAAAGACTGAATGATTTCTAAGCAACGAAATGCTACAGAGGTGAACAAACATTGTCGTTTGGAAGAGGATTAATAAATGTTAACATTCCCACAAATGAATAATCCAGTAAACATAAACAGTTTGTTATATATAGCGGTATTTTAAAAAAACTACAAATGCTGCATTATTTTCCGGACAACCCAATAAATTTAATTTCAATGAATTATACTGTAACATTGGTAAATTTTAGGAGATATTTAACCTTATCTCAACAATTCTACTTACAAAAATAAATTGGGCACCTGCATGAATTTTTAATTTGTATTCTTTTGTGAACTTTTATTTTAGCTTTTAAATGTTTCCAGTTTCAAAACTTTCATCTAAGAAATATCCTTTTTTTCTCTCATCATCGTTTCTGAATAAAAATATTTTGTTAAAAATGTATTTTATTAGTTTGTAAAAATTGATGTTTATAAAGATAAAGATATGTTTGATAGTATGTTTTCGGCAATGGTCCTCACTATACCATCAATACACATTGTTATATCAAGTTTTTAGCTCAAAATGAACCCTTCTTTTATTATTTAAAAAGTTCAATTTTTTTCCATACTAGTATTCAATTCACTATTGTATGCAAGCAGAGCATTGTAAATTATATAAATAGTGTCATTATTTTCATAATTTCAAAGTTTTTAATTTGGTATAATGGACTTTACTAAACCAATCTTAAAATTTATCAAGATTTCCACCAAAAAATCATAATGAAAAATGAATTTTCCTCTACCAGATTATATCATTAGCAATCCTTTTAACGTTTAAAAACACAAAAATTAATTTTTAATTTAAAAAAAGTACATATATATTTATTATGAATGTATAGCCTGAATTTCATGATGATATTCTTATGGATTCTAATTTAAATGTCTGAACTTAAGTTAAGTGTACGTAACTTACAACTTTCATTAGTGCTACGATTCTCTTAAGTGGCTGTAACAAAAATAAACTAGTTATGTTTATTTGATGAAGATAAAGTTGGTTGTGTTCTATTTAAATAGTTTTTTCCGTTATTACGGCACTTTAAAATATAAATGTATTTCATATACTTATCAATGCAGCTAAAACTACATTGCATCATTATTATACAATTATACGGAAGTTCAGTTGAAAGAAATCTCGCCTATTTACCTACAATTTAAAATATTCCATCCTTCAAATGCACATTAAATCTGTAAATCAGAGATTTAGCTTTCTAAAAACACTAGGGAAACTTTAGCATATAATCTATGAGTCCCACCAGTTTCAATGACTGTATTAATAGTGCAAATAATAAAGTTTGATTTACCACTATAAGATTTTAATTTTTAAACATGTATGATTCTTAAAGCAACAGTAAAATTGTCAATACCATGACAGGTGAAATTTTATATTTATATTATGTTTATGCGTTTACAGAACATGAATGCCAAGTTTCATTCATTTCAATACGGAATTGTTTTAAAATTACTTTTTTTGCTAATTGATATGATGTGGAATAATTAATAGTTGTAAATTTCAATTTTAAGATAACAAACAATTATTTATTCATGCAGGTGTGGTTGCGACTTTATCAGAACCTTATCCTTGTGAACGACGGCCATGCAATAGAAAATACAAGCCTGTCTGCGCGGAAAAAGTTGTTAATGGTAAATTAGAAAGGAAGACATTCAGCAATTATTGCATGATGGAAGCAGCGAACGATTGTGGAGGAGGTATGGAAACGTAATTTGTATTGAATTCGATAATTTTATATCATTCTTAATTTTTTGCAGACTATTTCGCTGTATCAAATGTTGAAATAATCAAGATTTTTCTTTCAGGTTTTGTATTCCATATTGTAATAAATATATATATATATATATATATATATATATATATATATATATATATATATATATATATATATATATATATATATATATATATATATATAAACAGAATTATTTAATTGAGAATAAGGGAATTTATTAATTATTATTGCTTCTGAGTTTATTCTACGTTTTAATCCCGGTTTTTTTAAAAGTTAACAATAATATCCTCTTCAAATTTTTAAAATAGAGCTTTGAGACCTCAGGCCAGGGACACACCGACAGTCTCAGCACTGTCCACCAGCACATAGATTAAGCTACTCCTACTACAGTAGCTTAATATATGTGCTGGTGGACGGTGCTGAGACTGTCGGTGTGTCCCTGGCCTCAGGTATCTAAGCTCTATTTTAAAACTTTGAAGAGAATCCCATTGTTAACTTTTAAAAAAACCGGGATCGAAACGTCGAATAAACACAGAAGCAATGAACATTTAGTAGTTTATTGAATAATTAATAAGTGACCTTATTCCCAAGTAAATAATTATGTTTAAATTTAAAACTCAAAGATCAATTAAAGAAAAGTTGTAAATATATATATATATATATCAAAGAACTAAAAGATGACTGTTTATATATAAAGTAAAAACTTTGTAAATAAATAGTAATTTATATTTTATAGTTGAAACTTCAAAATAAGTTCTATTATACCAAACTGGCTACATACATTTTAATGCATTACTGTTTATGATTAACTTTATAGACGGTACAATTTACTTGAATAGATTGATTAAGCAGATTTTTAAACTAGGAAGTTCTGATTATTTTCTGAGTTTTGAATTACAATTCTTCTCCTTTTCAGGATACAGTGTATGCAACCTTCAAGAAGATGACGATCAAGAGCAATAAACGCTATTCAAAGAACTTACCTCCAGAACTGTGTGATACTGCAACAAATATATATTAAAAACAATGTAAATATGTAGGCAATAACATGAAAATTCTACCTACTGTAAATATTTTTAGATTTTAAATTGATAGAGAAATGACATAATATATGCGAAAATATATTTTATTTACATGTATATTTATTCTTCTCGTTACATCCTAAATTCATACATAATTTAAGAGGTTCTGATGACCTAGAAATGTCTAAAAGAAAACAATTGAAGAAGTTGTTTAGATAAAAAAAAAAATTCATTTAAATAAATTTTCATGGAGTCCAAATGATAGCATGGATATATTGAAGGATCTCAAGACAATAAAATTTAAAATTCAAGGCGCTTATCATCAATTTATTGGATTTAATATTGCATTTGGTCAGTTTTTATACGATTAATAATTTGGGATTAAAAATAAACTAGAATAATTATTAAAATTATGTATGAAAAATTAATATCTTATATTTTACCCTATAAGCTCAATCAATTACCCAAATTAAATATGATTTGTTGTTAAATACATAATTAATTAAACAAATAATATATTTTATTTTGCTTGATATTGTCTTTTTTAGAGTTCTAGGACATAGGGAGGGATTTTGTTTCTGAGGATAAAGCCACTTCAACTCGGTGTACCATAATGAAATTTTATATGCAAATTTTAATTTTTATATAATTAAATATTAAATAACGCCAATGATAACATTTATGAAAACCGCATACATAAATGTATATAAAATTGTCGGAGTCCATATTATATTAAGATCATGTTGTATATGGAAGCCCGTTCTAATTTTTCGGGGCAAGCTCGAGCGCGTTTGTATTCCTTTGGTTCCTCCATTATAACTATTATCCGTTACAATCCCTTATTTCTCCTTTAGTTAATTGTTAAATTCTTTCTACTTTATATTTAACTATTTTTTGTATCAGAGATTAATGTGAAATGGTTAATTATTTAAAATTAAAGGTACTTAAGAGGAAACTAACATTGAAAATTAGCCATTTAAGCCCTTTTAGAGAATATCAATGAGAATAAAACCTAGATTCTGTTAAAAACTGATTAATTTTAGACTGATATAATGAATTCAATCAAAGTCGTTAGAGCCGTTTTCGAGAAAATCATAAAAATTTGTTAAATCAATGATATTAAGTACCACTTCCGGTTAGTCGATTTTGATGAAAAAGTTGCTGTAACATGCCAGGAATATACTAACCATAAATATGCAATTTCACTTTTGTATAACTTTTCGTTTTTTAACTAAACTGTTAACACACACAGACACGGATCATTTTGTGGGACTTATATTTTTATATTTTTTTTTTTCTATATATTTCATATATAGGTAAATGAACGTAAAATCTTATTTTGAAGCAAACCATAGCAAAACCAGTGAAGGAAACAATTGAGGAGTTCTGTTGAAAAATATTACAGCATGCACCATATTCATCAGACTTGGCTCCGTCTGAATACTATTTATTTGCATTGATGGAGCATGTACTTGGTCAAGAGCAATTCACTTGTGGGCGGGGTGGCCGAACGGGCTAACGTGTGTGCACAGCACCACTGTTGCCCGGCAACCTGATCTATGAGACAATATATTTAAAATAGTCACGAGTTCGCGTCCTGGTGCCGGGGAGTCTTTTAAATCCCTGCCCACACTCCCTGGCCCGGGAAAACCTCGTATAGCCTTAAAGGGGAGGACACAAAAAAAAAAAAAAGAGCAATTCACTTCTAATGAAAATGGCTTGATAAGTGGTTTATCACAAAACAGTTTTTCCGACATGGCATTCATAAATTGCAAGAAAGATGGGGAAAATGTATAGCTAGGAATGGACAATATTTTTATACAATAAACATGTATTTTCTGTTGAATAGTTCTATATTTACACATCTGGTATGCTGCCAAGTCGGTGGCATTTACCTTTAAATTCTCTTAGAAATTTAGATTGCTATTGATATGTTGCCAAGATAAACTGGCGATTTCACTCCACTAATCTCTCACCATTTTATTTTTTGTTAGTTTAAGTTTTATAACATTTGACTCTTCTACATTAGTCCATGGTACACATCCCTTTTTATCAAATTATTAACATCCGGCTGAAACTTCGTAAATAGTTTCATCTTATCGTAACCTACAAATATTTTATTTACGAAAATTCTCGGAAGTGGGGTGTTTTCAATCTGGAGGACGGCAAACTTTATTTATTTAATTAGGTACTAAAAACTCATAGATACCCATTTGCTTTCCACTTGAATCGTAAGATAAATTGAGCACAAAATCAAGAAAAAAGGTGGACTTCAAAAATATTGAGCCGTTTGGCGTGACCTAAACCCCCTAATTGTCAAAATAATGAGGTTTTATAGGCCAAATATTTTTGTAGGCCACCTTTTTTATCGATTTTGTGATCAAATTATCTTGCGATCCAAGTGGAAAGCAAATGGGTATTTATTAGTTTTTAGTACCTAATTAAATAGAGAAAGTTTGCTGACCTTCAGATTGAAAACGCCCCAATTCTGAGAATTTTCGTAAATTAAATATTTGTAGGTTACGAGATGAAACTAATTACGAAGTTTCAGCCGGATATTAATAATTTGATAAAAAAGGTTCTGTACCAGAGACTATATATATATAGTGAAACTTATCTTAGTGTAAAAATTTATAAACATCATCAATTTTTCTAGCATTTTGCAATATTGAGGACTTTTGGGAATGGGTGCAAGAGAGATTTGATGTAAGGATTTTGATTGAAAAATTTCTTCATAATGAACATTAGGAAGCCAGTGAGTGTGTTATTCTGATAATTTTTATTGAATTTTTAATGGCTAAGTTCAATTATGTATTCTTAGGCTGGTAGTAGGAATTATAATTACAATTTGTATTCAGTTCTCTGGCAGTATTGATTGGCGAGGTCAAACCCCGACTTTAAAGGAAAATAATTGTGGATTGATGGTTGACTGTATTGAATAATTGAAGAGATTGGTTAGGGTGATCAGTAAAAAAATATATAAAAATAAATAAGTTATATTTATTTTTATTTTTGCTGACATTTCAACCCAAAGTTCAGACCTTCATCAGAGCTAAGAAAAAATCTGGTGCAGTGCTCACGTCAAACAACTTTCACTTACCACCCTCTTTGTGGGTATTTTTATTTGAATAAGTACCCTCATATATACAAATTTTAATATTTATATCACAGTAATCTATACAATTAAATAATACCAACAATAACATTTATGAAAACCACATATGTATATTTATATAATATTGTTGGAGTCCGTATTATATTACTGTATCATATTATTATCTATCGTATTATCATGATACGTATGGAAGCGTGTTCTAATCTTTTGGGCGAGCTTGGGGTCGCTCGTATTCCTTTAGTTCCTCAATTACAACTATTCTCCGTTACGATCTCTTATTTCCACTTTAATTATTTACCAAATTCTTTCATATTTTATATTTCATCATTTTTCATAATAGAAATTAATGTGAAATGGTCAATTGTCTCAAATAAAAAAAATTAAAGGTACTTTAGAGGAAGCTAATATTGAAAATTAGCCATTTAAGCCCTGTCAGAGTAATAACCTCATTTTATTTAAAACTGCTTAATTTTATATTGATAAGATGAATTTGATAAAAATCATTAGAACGGTTTCGAGATAATCCTAAAAATGTGTTTAGTCCATGATATGAAGTGCCACTTCCGGTTAGCCTATTTTGACGAAAAAGTTGCTGTAACACCATCCCTAGCATATAAAATCCTTAAATATGCAATTTCACTTCTATACAACTTTTTGTTTTTGAGCTAGACTGTTAACACACACACATAGACCATTTTGTCGGATTTGGTTATTTGGACTCAGGAGACCTCAAAACGTGTATTTCCGTTGAAAACTCAGATTCAAAAATTTTCATGGTCGCAATACTTACCCTTACTATGTATTACATATATAGGTAAGTGAAAGTAAAAACAAATAACAATAGGTATGAGAAACTATTGAGTGTATATAAAATAATAGTTTCTCATACCCATTGTTATCTGGTATTTTCTTAGACCTGATGAAGGCCTGAACTTTTGGCCGTAACGTTGACTTATTTATTTATACATTTTTTGTTTACTGATCACAACAACCAATCTTTCCTTCAATTAAAGGAAAACAATTATGTGAGTGCCTTTGAAAAACTTAAAATTAGAATAAGTGGAGGCTTTTATACATTCATGTGACAGAGAAGCTGATAACACTGTGTAAAGATGGATCTGAAAACCTAAGAGTGCTTTCCCACAGCTCAGCATCCTGAATCGTACCAGCCAAATAAATCTGGAGACATGGCTCCACATATTCAATTCCAACATATAATCCGTGCTCCTCTATTGCTCAGAGATGGGAAAGGTGACCTGATCCATCTCAGACCATCTGCAAAAGATGCTCGAGGTCTATCTTGGGAATTTGAACCATCGAATCAAAGAATGATTTCTAATTAGCAGCTATCGAGAAGGACCAAGCCAAGAAATATTGAAGATGAAATTAGGCTAAGAAAATGGAGATGGAGTTAGCACACCTTAAAGAGGAAGGAAGGCATCGCCCAGGAAGCTCTCCAGTGGAATCCTCAGGGACAATGTCAAGTTGCCAAGCTGAGAAAGATGTGGAGTTCTGCCACCCTCAAGGAGATGGCTTCAGACAGAGCCAGATGGCGTCACTTCATCAAGAATCTATGCCCCATGAAGGGATAACAGGTATTTTAATAAAAATGTGAAAACTTAATATTCGCAAATAATCTGCTCAATAAAAAATTAGAAAAATAAAAGTATATGAACATTTGAAAGAAAAAAGTATAAAACTTCAGGCCATGCCATATAGAAATAGGACAAAATTTGAGTGTTCATTATGAAGAAGTTATGGTATATACAGGGTGTCCCGTAATTAGAAGAAAATATTCAAAAGATTGATAATAGACATCAAGATCTTCAAAAAGTTCATACAAACAATTGCCCAATTTCAAGCAGAAAAGTAGGAAATTTAAGATTTGTGTATTTTTAAGCAAGTCATGTTTTTGTTGAATAGGAAGCGATAACATAAAAAATATTCACAATATTTCTCCAATACTTCTTCGGTGAATACTATTTATTTTCAAATTTATTTATT